CACACACACACACACACACACACACACACACACACACACACACACACACACACAATCACAATTACAATCACAATCACAAGCACAAAGAACCAAACACTTTTTTATTACATTTGTCAGCCATTGTCTACTAGCTACACGCACACTCAGCTGCACTTCATATCCTAGAACACAGACACTTGAAGCGTTTCAATAAAATATAATGCTAAATAAATACGAAATCTATTTACTACCAAATTCTTAATGTTTCTATACTCTCTTTCACCTATTAATATTATTGCCGACAGTTTCCTGTAAATTCCGTTCAAATCCTATTTGCAACATACGCTTGCGGCCGCCATTCCTCACGCGGCTGCACTGTGCACACTTACACTTATATATTACACTTATATATACTTATATACACTATATACAAATATAATAAATACAATATATACAATAAATGCGAAACTATTTAATTTGTTGCGGTGAGACATTCATGACAGACATAGTTTCACTTATAGATCGGCCAACCAATTATGCAGACACAAACGCGCAAAGACACGAAAACATCGAACGCCATGCTACTTGTCGTTAATATATACCACAAACCTACAAGCAACCTACACATATATATATATATATATATATGCCTTTACAATAATATATACATATACAATATATACATATAGGTATATATTATATATATACAAGCAACCAATATATACCACAAGCCTTCAAAACTTAAAGACCTTAATCTAGTTGTCCGAGGTTCACCTTGCATGAAAGAATATTGTCCGTATTACGATGTCATCGCCCGCGGCGAGAATAATTACTCATTAATTATTTTAATTACAATCATTTTGAAACATGGATGTCGCTACTTGGGATCAGCGTTTGAAAACTGAATTAAGACGAATTTTTTTGATATCGTCACGTTTTTGTGTTATCATCAAAGATGTATAACAAACATTGACGGGATCAACAAATATATCAACATGTATAACAATTTAATAACGAAGCCAAGCCAGATGGCAAACAGACATGGTCGGCTATTTTATTAGCATTGGCTAGATAATCCATTACCGCATAGCGATTTCACGAGTATGGAAAACAACTACATATTATAATCTTTCACCGTTTGTATACTACCTCGAAAGATAACGATAAAATCACTAATACCAGGAGAGGCAGCTACTAATGTCACCGTGAAGCATGTAAACATATAGCTGAAGGCTAGACTTAAACAAATAGTTACGACGTCGCTATAGCTACTCAGGGCTTAGCGTTCCAGAACAGGAATAATTCTATGTCTATGGCATATAAAACACGTTCTTGTGTGTGTTATCAGCTCATGCGTGTTCAAAGCTTTATAAATCTAAACGTATATAGGGAATAGACATTCCGAATCGAGCCGTTCACATAGAAGCA